CGTTAATAACGCTCACGTCTATCATGCTTTCATCGCAAGACCTGCCGCGAGTGTACGTCGAACGACGTGTGTAGCGAGAATGCGCTGCGGTTAATGTCGTCGCAGCGCTTCACGTGTACGTGCTCGGCAGCGGCCGCTACACGGGCGCACGGCAACGATTGCGCAGGTACGTACGCGACGTAGCTATAATTATCATAAACTGTGGAGAGAGCAGGAAGAGTTGCACGAGAGAGTGAGATGGCGAGAGGAGGGGAGGGAAGAGATGAGTGAGCCAGCGCACAGAGAGAGAGCCAGCGAGAGAGATTAGAGAGAGAGTGAGTGCGAGAGTGAGAGAGGGGAGCACTATATATATATATATATATACAGCAGAGCAGAGAATGAGACGAGAAAGAGAGCAGGAGCCGAGACGAGAGCAGAGAGCGGGGGGGGGCGGGGGGGGGGGGGTGGGGGGGGGGGGGGGGGGGGGGGGGGGGGGGGGGCGGGGGGGGGGGGGGGGGGGGGGGGGGGGGGGGGGGGGGGGTGGGGGGGGGGGGGGGGGGCGGGGGGGGCGGGGGGGGGGGGGGCGGGGCCGGGGGGGGGGGGGGGGGGTGATGAGAGAGAGAGCCACGAGAGAACAACGATAGTGGCGTAGAGAGAGCAGAGAGCAGCGCATGAGTTGAGAGAGATCGCACAGATAATATAATAATATATATATAGAGAGAGAGGAGAGAGAGAGAGAGTCAGAGAAAGAAAGAATAGAAGAGATAACTTGACTCACATACACTGACAGTGACCAGTCTCTCTCTATATATATATATCACACACACACAAGATATCGACGAGTGCTTGCTTTGAGTCGGACGACTGCGATGCGAATGCAGACTGCAACAACACTCCTGGCTCGTTCACGTGTCAGTGTCGACAGGGCTACAGCGGACCAGGCAGCAACTGCGAGGGTAAGTCTCACGGTTTATTTCCGGTTGGCCTACTCTTATTTCGCCTATTCGTCTACGCCCAAAATCTACCCCATTCCCGTTTCGTCTACGATCGGTTTGTTCACTAAATAATCATTTATAAATAATAAAGTATGGGTTTGATTGGCATACATAGACTGCAGAAAACATAGGTACAAATAATGAGAACACAACTTGCAAACATTTCAGCCATCTAACTCCTTCCTCTACCCCACCTCGGTCTCCCTATACCCTCGTCCCATTTCCGCCATTACCCTAACCACAGGTCGTCACCCGCCCTCCCTTGCGATCACCCGTTACCGTAACTATCAACATGTTCTGCTTGCATCTATGAGAAATACGACATACGCATATACGCTCTCCTATGACACTATTTGTCATAGGAAGATTCTTCCTATGACAAATATTGGCGAGTATATATTGGTGGTATTGGAGTTTGGCCTCTCTCTCTGATTCCCTCGTTTCCTCCCGGCACCGCAGGGACATTAACTCTCTTATATTGTCTCGCTCCCCCCCTCCTCGCGCAGCAGGGAAGGAAAAACATTGACTCTCTCATATTGCTCGCCCCCTTCTCCTTGCGGCAAGTGGCGGCAGGTGAGACACCTTTACTCTCTCATATTGCCTCGGCCCCTCTCCTTGCCTCGCAGTTGGCGGAGGAAGGGACATGACTCTTCCATATTTGCCTTTCGCCCCCCTCTCCTTGCGCAGTGATGGAGGTGAGACATTGACACTCGCTGCTGTTGTGCGATCGCTTCGTCGCTCGCGCGATGCAGTCACCATGGACAGTAACAGCCCCCAGACAATAATGATTAACGACCCGCTATCTTTCTCTCTCATAGGTTCTCTCTCTCGCCTCTCTTCTCTCGCTCTCTCTCTCTCTCTCTCTTCTCTCTCTTCTCTGTCTCTCTTCGTCTTCTCTCTCCATCTCTCTTTCTCTCTCTCTCTTTCTCTCCCTCTGGCTCTGTCTCTATCTGGCTCTCTCTCTCTCTCCCTCTGGCTTTCTCTGTCTGTCTCTCTCGCCTTCTCTCGTTTCCTCTCTCTCTCTTCTCTTCTCTCTCTCCCTCTCTCTCCCTCTGGCTGTCACTCTCCATGTCTCTCTCTCTCTTTCTTCTCTCTCCCTCTGGCTCTCTCTATCTGTCTCTCTCTACCTTCTCTCGCTCCCTCTGCCTCTCGCTGTCTCTCTCTTTCTCTCTCTTTCTTGCAGCTGTCTCTCTCCCACGTCTCTCTCTCTCCTTCTCTCGCTAGCCCTCTCTCTCTCTCTCTCTCTCTCTCTCTCTCTCTCTCTCTCTCCCTCCCCTATCCGTTTCTCTCCCACGTTTCTCTCTTTCTATCACTCCCTCTGTCTCTCTCTCTCTCTCTCTCTCTCTCTCTCTCTCTCTCCTATAATCTCTTTCCTGCCTCTGCTCCCCCTCTGGCTCTCTCTGCTATGTCTGTCTCTCTACTCTTTTTCTTCGCCCACCCTGTGGCTCTCTATCGCGCTATTTCTCTCTCTCTCTCTCTCTCATACACACGCTTTCTCTCCTCCCTCCTCTGATCTCCTCCTCTTCCTCTTATCTTCCCTTGTATCTCCCCCTTCTTCTCTCTTTATCTTCCCCTCTATCTCCCCCTCTCATGCTTTATCTCCCCTCTCTTCGCTTCGCTCCCCTCCCTCGTTTCCGCCTCCCCCTCGTTACGATGTGACGCGACATGTAACGACGTGTCGTTAATTTTTTTTTTTTTTATTATGGATAGATGATGGAGAGTGCCAGCCAAGGACTCCGGCACGTGTAAACGAACTGACGCGGCGTCTGTAGAAACACGACGGCTCGTACGGATTGCGCCTGCGTCACCGGTTACCTAGGCGACGGCGGTCAGTGTGACGCCGTGCAGTGTGCGTGGCGCGCATGCGTAGTGTTGCTGGGAACTGTGTTCATGCGTGCGTCTCGTTTTTTTCATTTGCTCGTTCGCTCGCTCGTAGCTTCATTCTTCTCGTTCGTTTGTTCGTAAATCATTCACGCATTTATAACTTGTAACAATTACGATAACGAATTGTATATAGAAGGAGCATAATACGTCCTATAACTCTAATAGTCTATACCCATTTATCGACCATTAATCGCGGGTGATAAGTAATTACTGCTAGTATTAATATAAAGAATTAGTTACGAGCGCTGTGTGTCTATATCAGCCTGAATCTGTCCGCCATATTAGTCTCTACACTACCCCCTAATACCAGATAGCCAGCTAACAGTTTAGCATTTATCAGGACAGTGCGCCTTGAGCCAAGAATGATATATTCCGATACTGCGATGTCGCTGGACATCGGTGTTTCACTAAGCATTTATTCAGATTTAGTGGACGCCGATTTTGTCTTTCTACGATCTCTCTTTCTCTCTCTCTCTCTCTCCTCTCTCTCTCTCTCCTCTCTCTCTCTCTCTCTCTCTGTCTGTCTCTCTCTGTCTCACTCTCTCACTATCTCTCTCTCACTCACTCACTTTCTCTCTGTGTCTCTCTGTCTCACTCTCTCTCTCACTCACTCTCTCTCTCTCTCTCTCTCTCTCTCTCTCTCTCTCTCTCTCTCTCTCTGTCTCTCTCTGTCTCTCTCTCTCTCTCTCCCTCCCTCTCTCTTTCTTTCACTCATTCTCTCTCACACACAGATATGGATGAATGCATTGATGGAACCGACAGCTGCAGCTTGCGCGCCACCTGCACCAACCTCGTCGGCTCGTTCGCCTGCGACTGTCTCGTCGGCTACAGCGGCGACGGCATCACGTGCAGCGACGTCAACGAGTGCGCCACCGCCGCCGACGAGTGCCACGAGAGGGCGCTGTGCACGAATACGGTCGGCGGCTTCGACTGCGCATGTGAGGAGGGCTACGCCGGGGATGGCATCGACAGATGTTTGGGTGAGTGCGATTGCGTTGACGGAGGTGGCTGGCTAAACGACGACACTCTCTGCCGGGTCCCCCGCGTACCTAGCATCTCAACATGGCGGTTCGGGCGCCATTTTCAACCGTGATCTTTTACGGACATCGTGCTAATATGAAAATACGTGGGTTTAGGTTCGGAGATGCGGAGTTAATATTAACGTTACAGTACCGTCAACTAAGTTTAAGTTTAGCCAATCACGCCGTCATCAATTATCGATCAAAGTTCGATTATCATCCGAGGACGTGTGCTGCGCGTCTGCTATATCACGTGACGATGCGAACACGTGATTGCCGGAAGTGACGTTCGCGTTACCTCTTGCAGACGTCGACGAGTGCGCGAACGACGCCGACAACAGTTGCCATGACAACGCGATGTGCAGCAATACGGATGGTTCGTACGCGTGTGAATGCATAGACGGCTATGAGGGAGACGGGACCGCCAACTGCGCAGGTAACCATGGCAACGGGGTACATGAAGATAGCTTACGACACAACAACGACAAATGCCATTTAAAATGTCTCCTAAACTATATATATATATATATATCAGGAATATTTAATAAACGTTGTCTAGTCATTTATGTTGGTGATATATCGCACATAGTCATGCATATAAGCAACGTGTGGAGCCATGATACTAAATTATATTACGTCACGTAATGTATGGACGCACTATATGTGCAGGCTACACACCCTGCATCGCTGCAAGAATCTAATGTACATCTGTGTGTATGTATGTACATCTGTGTGCCTGGCTGTACATCTGTGGGTCTGTCTGCTGCTGATACAGATTTGGACGAGTGCTCGAGGCGAGCCGACAACTGTCACAGTCGCGCGCGATGCACCAACGACGTCGGCAGCTTCCTATGCACGTGCGACGACGGATGGCGAGGCGACGGCGTACGGGAATGTATCGGTAAGCAGACCAACGGTAGAATCTATACGATACATTGCCGTACATTCGGATACGGACGACTGTGCTGAAATACATGGCACCGGAGTGATAGATTCCGATAGATTAAAAGAGTCGACGTAATGTATACGTTATAGAATTATATATATATATCTTTTATATATATATATATATATCCTAACATATATCCTTCAATACAATCCAAATAATCCAAACATAATCCGTCATGTAAAACTCATGCAACCTAGAATACTGACACGGTTAGAATCATTGTGTTTTCCCCACTAGAATCATCGCATCATCGGCAATCCGCCATCTTGTTTTCGGCAGATTATGACGAGTGTGCTCAGAATCGAGACAGCTGCTCCAGGGACGCCGATTGTGAGAACACGGACGGCAGCTTCGCCTGCTTATGTCTCGAAGGCTTCACCGGCGACGGTCTAGTCTGCGACGGTACGTGTCGTCGCCATAGCAACAACGCCCGCCGCGCGCGAGCTAGTCCCAATGTACGAGCTACGGTGGCGCCTCCACGTTGATCGTGGGTAGCTGTGACATCGGTGTGACGTCACGGGCTTGCGACGTCCGCGTGTTTTACGTGCTTAGCTGGTTAGGTGCTTAGATGAATGTTGATGTGAGGTCACTCACCTCCCAGCGATGCTCAAATAGCACACCTCCATCCATCCACTCCATCTCCACTCCATCTCATCATTACCGCGTTGCTATTGGAATTACAATATTAATACGATTATAATAATTACTTGAGTAGTTATAATAATAATAATAATTATTATTATTATTATAATAAATATTGTTATACTTATTATTATTATTATTATTATTATTATTATTATTATTATCATCATCATCATCAGCACCACCACAACCAGCAACAGTAACCTGATGTTTGCGTATACCTATATTTACCTATATCTATACTTTTGTTTGCGTTACCCTATGTTTGCGTTCGCAAGCGGTCGCAACTATCTATTACAACTAACTATTATAACTAATAACCATTACAACTAATTAACTAACTAACTAACTAACTAACGTGTGCGTTCATTTTCTCTCGCAGACGTGAATGAATGTATCGACGGATCGAACACGTGCCATAAGAACGCCGTCTGCGCTAACTCGGTCGGCGGATACGACTGCGAGTGTGTCGTCGGCTACGCTGGCGACGGCATCGACTGCATAGGTGCGGGAGAGCTATCTGTCTGTCTGTATGTCTGTCTGTATGTCTGTCTGTCTGTCTGTCTGTCTGTCTGTCTGTCTGTCTGTCTGTCTGTCTATCTGTCTGTCTGTCTGTCTGTCTGTCTGTCTGTCTGTCTGTCTGTCTGTCTGTCTGTCTGTCTGTATGTATGTATGTATGTATGTA